TGTTTTTTGAACTTTTAAAATCGGACGCTCCGTTCTCTTAAAAACTGTGCTACAGTTTTTGGCACTTTTTGCCCCGTATCACCGGAACGGCTAGACCGCCAAAAACTAGTCAGCACGTCACCTTATCAGTACGAATCGAATGTTTTTTGAATTATTTAAATCGGTTGATCGGTGTTCCCGAAATCGTCGACGAAAATTTGTATCCGCACACACACGCACACACACACACACATACATCCATTTTTTCTAATGTATGCTAAAATATTCAGAAACCTTTGAAACGTAAAGATATATAAAAATTTTCATTTTCGATTTTTTTGCGATTATTATAACTTGCCCTACGGGAAGTTAATAATATAATCATCCCAAAATATGTATATAAAATTACATTCATCGATATTATTCGAATAGCAAACCTTTGTGGAGTCCTCCAACATTCGCGTGTGTTCCGCGATAAACCTGACGCAGAAGCAGGATTTGTGCATCCGCGGCGGGCAGCATTCGTGAGAGAATGCCGGGTTCAGTAAGACGCTCGGGCTTTTGATGCCGCCGTCCGCATCGTCGATGTCGCTGCCGAGATGCGACAAAGCCGGAGGACCGTGAATCTGACAACTTCCACCGAACGGTCCGATCTCACCGAGACTGAGAGGATAAAAAAATTAGAATTAATTCATAAATGTAAAAATCTATAATATAAAAATGATTCGCAAAATGTGTTGGTAAGCGCATAACTCAACAACGCCTGGACCAATTTGGCCGATTCTTTTTTTTTTTTTAAAAATGTTCGTTGAAGTCCAAGGATGGTTCTTACGGCGAGAAAAAATCGAACAATTGCCGGAAAAACCCTAAAAATAGCTCTCTTCTTTTTCACATACAAACGTTTTCTAACTAAAACGTATGATCAATATGAGCTTTATTGCTATTGTATAAAGTTCATATTAAATTACAAGCACTCACTGTATACTCCTCCTAAACTATTATTCGGATTTTGATAAATCTTTCTAAAGTTTGTTAAGCAAATTTTCTAGGATGTATGTGATTATAAAGTACTGGTATGTGCAATATTGTAGAAATGAATGGAAAAAAGCAAAAAAAACTACATGTCATTTTTTGCGTTAAAAACAAATGAAAACTATCATCTGCCAAAAATTTCAATTTATTTATGAACCTAGACAATATTAGAATATGCATAATAAATTTATGATTATGAATAAAAAAAATGAAATGCCCACATTATTATTGCCAAAAAGCAGCTGAGATGTGCCAGAAATTAAAATAATTTTAAATACAGTATATGTATGGCAGATTGAATGATACACATATGAAAAAATTAATTCACTTAAAATATAAAATTAAGTATTAATCAGAGCCGGTCCTACCTTTAATGCAATGCATGCGAAAAATACGAGCGCACGCCTTAGGGGGCGGCGCCAACACAAGATTCGGATATTAAATTTTCAATATAGTTTTTTTTTTTAATATATAATTTCTTTGCAACTTTTACTAATCTTTCCACAATATTTTTAAAATTCGTAAAAATTTCACTTTATAACAACAAATGGGAAAGTAAAGATGAATACATACAATTCGGTCCTCACGATATCGATTAGGAGAACGTTAAGATCCAATTTTGGATATATTAAATAATAAAAAAATAAACTAATTCAATCCAACATAAAGTACCAGTGTCATATTATGGTTATGTTATACCGTTTAAAAAACTTCAATTTCCAATATAGTGTGGGAATTGAGACTCATCATTTTATTTAAAGCAGTTCTACATTTAACATCGCTTATATTATAAATGTATATGAATTTTGGCGTGAAGAGTAATTTAAAAAACAATATTTATTATTTTTAGGTAAACGGTAAATATTAGTATATTGTATTAAAAGGAAATTTTTAATTTTATAATTTGACTTAACTTAAAGATAAACTCAATAATTTGATAAATTGCGTTCAGAGAAACTATAGTTTTCTACAATAATATTACTTTACCTAGCTGGAGATAAATCTTCCTTCGACGATGTCCTGCTGATATATCTCTGGTCCTCCGAAGAATTGGGATGATAGGGAAAATAAGATGGGACGTCTTTTCCACGCACCGTCCGCATTAAAACACCACCAGAAGCATGCCTAAAAATATCTGGTAGTCAGTTTCGTAATTTTATTTCCAAAAATGTAATTTTATAAATTATACACACACCGAACACACACACACACACACACACACACGCAGACATATATCCATTTTTTTAAGGTATGCCAAAATATTCAGAAACCTCTGAAACGTAAAGGTATATAAAAAATTTCATTTTCAATTTTTTTGCGATTACTATAACTTGCCCTACGGGAAGTTAATAAACTACGTTTGATTCGGAATAGATCTATAGTATTTATTAGTAAATTATGTGTATTAATTAATTAGTATTTCATTTACCCATGCGTTTCAAATTTATATTGCGGCCTTCTCATGAACAGCAGCCTGGGAAGAATATGTATGAAAACGCGCTTTACCCATGGTGCCATTCTGTGCGTTTGAGGGGACCTAAAATGCACATTCAGGACCACCACTGTCACGCATATACTAAAAATGAAATCGAAATTAGTATAATTGTTCATAATATTTCAAATCGTATATTGTTCAGATATTACCTAATCGATACCAATATCATAGCAAATATTAAGTATTTTCCGAGCAGCGGCACAACTAACGATGTTGGCGGTATAATTTCGACAACCAGCAGAAAGAACACGTGGAGACTAATCAAAATCGATATCGACAGAGTAACCTAATGAAAGAAAAATATTAAACTTAATATACAATGTAATAATATAATATTATTTTCTATACAATTTACCTTTTCACCACTGTCCGAAGGAAGATAAAAGGTCAGCACTGTCAAAAAGCTAATTCCCATGCAGGGAATTATTATATTAACCGTATAAAAAAGAGTTTTCCTTCTCATAGTTATATTGAATGTAATATCTAAGTAGGGCTCGTCACAACAAGTGTAGAACTTTTCATTCCTATTTGAGTAAAAATTATACAATTATTTTATTAATTCATTAAATACACAGCAATATTTCAATTTACACAAATTAAAATCAGTTTATATAGAAAATTAAATAATTAATAAAAATTAGAAAAAATCTTAAAGCAGTTTAAATGTTTAAAGGATTGAAAAAAAACGTAAGTAAATTATCATGACTAAAGATTATAATCTTACACCTAGGCTTTCTTGAATGAGGTAATAGGTAAATCCATCAGTATTATAATAAAAATGTTATGTATCACTTGTGGATATTTTTCATAATTGATACCTTTATATACAAGATTTTCATTTTTTTGCAATATATTATAGCATTTAATTATTTTTTTGTGAAAAGCCCTAAATTCGGCAATAATTTGGAGCATGACACATTATAAACACACATGTATATGTATATGTATAGAGATGGGCTTATCATATCTGAAGCCGGATCGGTTAGGATTTGACTCCGCTTCAGAGAAGAGTTATATCCACTGAACAACACCCATTTCCCCACAACGGAAATAGTTTACAAATAGTTCAAACATTTTTGTTCATATTATTATAATAATTACTATTTTATGCATTTCACTATGCATACAAATCTCAAATTGAGAAAAAAACTTGGAAATCAAAATCAATTTTGTAATTGTTTTTGAAGAGAAAATATAGAATTCTTTGAATATGTTTTTCATATGAATTTATTGCAGTGAACCTTATATATGAAATAAGAACAAATCTTTGTGTATAATATTTTTCACAATATAATAATACCTCACATTTCTATTATTTCCTTTTCGAGAATTAATTATACATAAGATAGTTTGATTAGCATACTATTACTTCTACACAATTATAAAATCATAATTGTGTAAAAGTTATAATATAATACTAAATATTTTTTAGCTGGTTATACCATTGAAAGAGCTCGTTCACGGACAAACATTATCGTATACAGAATATAGAATACAAAATAGCATTATTTTGAGACATTATATACCTGGAAAGTCCTAAAACTGGCTGGGAGACGAGAAAAAGACCACTTATTTCGACCCAAATCTTTGTATTAGTAAAAAATCTCAAGCAAATATCTGCACATGTTAACAGATTTAGTACCAGTTTAGGGAAGTCGGATATGACAAATCCTGTGAGACAACTCCACTCGGATTCACTCCGGGGGAGGAGTTGTATCGGGTTGATAACTCCGGAGTGAGTTACCCATCTCTAAATATATACATGTGTGTATGCACAATTATCCGATGTGTGTTTCGTGTCTGGTGCATAGTACATAGCCTGGCCGTAATTGCTCGGTAGGCACAATAATTAAACTAATTGAATTGCAAGCGCATAGTTTGACAACAGCAGTGACCAACCGACTGTCCCTAGGCTAAATTTCATGCAGTAAAATAACGTGATATTCGTGGAAAAATAATACAATAACGATAGTTAAAAGTAGTTAACTAATACTAATCGGAGTATTTTTATACTAAACTAAATATTAGGGAATGCAATACCGGTATACCGGTATACCGAATTACCGATAAACCGCCCGATTTTTCGGCGGTATTTTTACCGGTATTTACCCAAAAAATACCGATATTTTCGGCAATTTTACATAAGCGCTATTTGATACATAATACACTAAAGTTTAAATTTCTCGGAACAAATTTATCTTTAAATTCCATAATCGCATAAACAGCTATATCTTCAAGTGATTCTCTAGAATAAACAAATGTCGAATATTATCTCAACTCGTCATTAAACTGAATATTTATTGCTTTACTAAGGGCTTCATATCGTGTTACAATAAATAGAATTGGACTGATAGATAATTTTATGATTAATATTTTTGCTTCTTATTACAATTATAAAATATTATCTTTCGAAAACGTTTCGAAATTTGAAAATATTATAGAACCATCACATTGTTTTAAATAACAATACTTGACAAAGTATCCGATCTTAAATTAGTGTAGAAAATTATTTTTTTAAAATATTGGAGATTATGCTAATTTAACACATCGAATACAGACAATACAGTTTATTATAATAATGTAATATGACCTTTCATGAGTTTTTGGTCTTTCTTACTCATAAGTTTGTTTTTGGTGAAAAGTACTCAATATACTCGATAGTGATAATGAATTAATTAAATTGGATATAATTTTGTTAAATTATTATTTAAAAAAGTAAACTTATTGTTTTATTTTATTGTTTTTATTGTTTAGTTGAATATAGTTGTAGTTGTATATACATTTTTTTATATTTGTACTAGTAACATTCAATTTTGTTTACGATTGTTTAAGATAATAAAAATACCGGTAATTTACCGGTATTCCGGTTTTAAAATGAAAAATTACCGAAATACCGGTATTGAAACTTTTCATCGGTATTGCATTCCCTACTAAATATCATTGATTTTTCATATAGTGATGAGTTGACATCAGAGAAAAGTGTGATGTATATAAATTGTAAGTACTAAATTTAAAATAATCAATTACCTAACTGCCGGAACTTCCAGAATATCCCATTCCACAGACATGTAAAACTCAGATAAATCGACACCGACGTCGACGATGTTGCTTCCAGACTTCTCATCCATGTGCCTTAAATCGACCTAAATCAATGTTGTTAATGACTACATAATCGATTACTTTAATTGATAATTATTTTCAATTAAGAAATGATTTATGTACAAGTGAATTTTTATTATTTTATAACTACACACCAACAAATTTCATTCCAACTAAACGAACGAACCATAACTACAGCACATGCGTTGGATCCGCTCGTGGAGCATGATTTTTTATTTATTCAGCTTTTTCGGCTACGATTCTCCTGCACTTTACTGAAATAGAAAATTTATTAATTGCTCGAAAAAAATGACAAGGACGCCCATGAGGAAAAACTTTAATTTGGATTTAAATTGTGCCCCTGATTTTATTAACTCAATGTTTAGACATTAAACTGTTTTGAAAAACTAACGAAATTTAGATTATATATTGGTTTTAATAGAACACCAACTCTTATAGCTAGCAAAAATCAATTTTTATAAATAAAACCGAATATTCATGATCATTTGTCGTATCTACAAAGTGTATGGCAATATTCTTTGCTACGATTTTACAATTTGAAACTATGAAGAGTTTTACATGAATGCTTTACAATTAGATAGAAAACTAAATCAATAATGATATACTGGTAAAATTGAATTTTTATGAAAATTGTACTAATGTGTCAAAAATAGTGTGTAGATTTGGAAACATTGTGAAAATAAGATTACTGAAAATTACGTTTTGCATACATACATACACCCATACAATGCTGAAACTAAACAAAAATTTAGAACAATGTTCGTCTTTTAAACCAATAACTAATTTAATCCATATTATTTCATTATATTTATGTGCGTGCAATGAGTTTCTATTTCTTTTTTATTATTTCTCATAATTTTCAAGCTGTGCAATTGATATAAGAGTAATATTACACACATTTATGCAATAATTAAATAATCTATAAAAATTTCCTTAGTCCTGTAGCTATAAAAAGTATTTAAAAAAAGCGAAATCATTTTTGGTCCATTTTAAATAATACATTTCCTTGATGAATATAAATTTAGTCTGTAACATTTTCACTAAATTAAGAGTATTACTTATAAGGGTTTCTAGAAACTTTTGGACTAACAACATATTTAAAAAAATCTGTATTGTGTTAAATTAGTTTAAAATAAAATTTCGTTGCATTTATTTATCGTTGATAAAGAGAAAGTTTAACTTAAAATTAATCAATTTTTATGATATATTTAAAATATATTGTGTTCCATATATAATAATTATATCAAATGAATGAACTAAATTTTATATAATTATCAGTTAAATTTAATATTCTTTAATTGATTTTATTCATCATTTTCCTTTTTATGTTAGAAAGAACATAAGTAAAAAATCACAAATAATCAATTGAATTATTTTAAAAGTGTAGGTAGTAACTTTAAAAATGGAAAAATTTGTGAATTTACAAACAATACTAAGAATGAATATCTAAGGAATAATAATCAAATGAAAGAAATTTCAAATATCCAAAATAATAAGCAAAAACATTCATCAAGAAAATCAATCTGTAAAGCAATGAATGATTATACGAATATTACGGAAAATTTTACAATGTTGATAAAATCTGGTATTGTTTCAAAGTTTCACATGCAAGCAAACTATATAAATATTTAATCTAATTTTTAATAGATATCATATATCATGCAATATTTATATTTATATACATAACAAAAGAAGCACATTTGAAACAAAAAGCATTTACCAAAACGCACTACTCGATCGATTCATGTGTTTTGTGGATATTTTAAGGGCTCTTGTTTAAATATATACAAAATATTTTATTCTTATAATTTTAAACCTCATATTTAGCATTAACCCTAAATATTTTTTTTACTATGTACAGATCAATTTAATTTATGTTTAACTATCAAAATAGCAATATATTTACAGCAACTATGATTGACACTCATTCCTTATGATCAGTCTATATCAATCCAATATCAATATAAATATTTTTATATTATATTATTTATGTAATTGCATACATTTTTTAGTTTACTGGAAAAGGTATAAAATGAAAGGCGGCATTATAAAAATAATTTACTGCAAAAATAATTATTTTTAATTCAATTTATTACAGTTTGGAAATTCGAGAAGTGCTTACGAATTAATCTAAATTTTGAGATAAAAATACTAATTTTCTCGTTTAATCTCCTAATGCGTTATAAGAAAGTTGAATGAAATAATAATATACAACAAGAGAGTAGTATTCGTTAAAACCTAGATTTTTGAATTTATGGGTAATTCTACAATAAGAGGTATTTGAAAATAGATGTTGTATTTTAAATATTGAAATTGTATGCAAAGAATTCCATGTTGTTTATAAGTTGCAAACAGAAGTAGAAAAACCTAGAGAAGAAATCCGGAAGAACTAAATAATTTATCTTAACTTCTTAGAAAATATAGTTCCAAATGCTTCCAAATAAATAAAATATGAATCTCTAATAGTATTAGCTCTTAATATAAGCATTTACATAGAGCGCACGCTAAATAATTTCTGCTGTAAATATGTAGATGTTTCAAGAATACTGATACGTGTAATTTTTGCTATAATACCATATGATAGTATTTAATAACACAATTTTACACATTCCATTTATTATAGATATAATAACAAACTACATTTCATATGTCTGTTATTCAAAAACCTCTTATTGTAGATCGATATCTCATTGAAATTCACAGAAATCCTATTAAAGCATATTAAAAATCGTTCATAATGATAGCGCGAGGTTGTAATATGAAAATGCAAACCTTGTCTTATATGTGATTTGTTATTTATGAATCGATTATTGCCAATATTTTAAAAATTTTGAGCCTCTTAACTCTGTTATTGTATAAGTTGAAATAATGCAAATGTATGTATATCAAAAATGTTCATGCTTCTGATAAACAAATTGAACTAATTGAAAGCTTTACTTACTCAAGCACTTTTAATAGATTAATTAATTAATCAATTAAAATTAAAACAAATAATGTCAGGCTGGATGTCAAACTCTTCATAGTTAATCGATATATCGTTTTTTGATTATACATAATATTTAATAATTTTGTTTAATTTTAGAAATCACTGGGCTATTTTATACCTTTCCCATTAAATACAACTGCAGAGGCCATTGAAATGTTCGAAAGTTCATGTGATATGATTAATTAATACTTTTCATTTGTTTATTTGTGTGTTAAATAATAATTGATGTATATATACAAGTGTATATGTATATGTATAAATCTGTATCAAATGTGAAATTTTTATCATTAACAATATTCGAACATATTCAATGAAATCGCTTTCATGAAGATATTAAATGAAGGGAGTCTTATTTCCATTTTCATTTTTTATCTTAAGTTAAATTTTGTGTTAAATCAATACATATCAGAATAGCATTTCTGAATTAAAATAATATTTTCAATTAGAAAATGAATGTTCATTTTTAGACGTGCTAATTGTAATAATTATGTTGCATGTAATTATAGAGTGTAGTGAAATGTTTTTAGTGTAATAATTCTTTAAGAAAAACTAATTATAATAATATTCACATATAAAACGTTGGATCAATTGAATTGTGATAATTCAATAAATAACGTTTATAATTGAAAAAACAACCGAAATTCGAAGGTATAATAAAAATAAAAAATAATAAAATATTGAATTCAAATATGAAAAAAGTAAAATAATTATAAATAAAATTAAATAATATTGAGTGAATATATTTGTTGTTAATTGATAAATTATTTAATTTGTTTTCAAAAAAAACATGTATATTGTGTTTAATACAGCCAGCACGCCCTTAATATTAGTCTTGAATATATAAGATAATTTTAAATATATATATAAATTACAAATAAACACCACAACCATATATATATATATATATATATATATATATATATATATATATATGTATTAGGGTGGTCATTAACAAGACATTTTCGAATTTCTTTGCTCCCAAGAACGCCAATGCTTCCAAATGAATGAAAAATGAATCTCTAATAAAATTAGTTCTTAATATAAACATTTAGATAGGGCGCACGCCAATTGAAAGTTCCTTATATTTGTTATTAACATTCGTCATTAAGTAAATTCTTGCGTCATTGACACATAACGTGAACTCAAATATTAGGACACATAAGAATATTTATAAACCACTTAACCTCTAATTAAATCCTATTCATCATGGAATCAAGAATAATTTTGCAGCAAAATATTTATTTAATTGGTGATGTTGAAACTCAAATTATTATCTTGATTCCATGATGAATAAATATTATAGAATAGCCCACATGAAATTTAATTAGAGGTTAAGTGGTTTATAAATATTCTTATATGTCATAATATTTGAGTTCACGAATACTATACGAATGGCGCAAGATTTTACTTAATGACGTTTGTTAATAACAAATATAAGAAACTTTCAATTGGCGTGCGCTCTATCTAAATGTTTATATTAAGAGCTAATACTATTAGAGATTTTATTAATTTGGAAGCATTGGCGCCCTTGGGAGCAAATAAATTCGGAAATGTTTTTTTTAAGGACCACCCTAATATATATATATATATATATATATATATAAAAATATATATATATATATATATATATATATACGTGTACGTCGATATTTTACAAATTAGTTTTTCGCTGTAATCGGATAGGAATTACTGTTTTCAACACATGCAAAAAATGATGGAATTTACAAAACATTTAGTAACAAATTCATTATTGTTAAATAAAACCGCTACGCTACGTGTGTCGTCTATAGACGACATACGTTTGACGATCTGTGTGTACGGATGTCGCCTATAAACGACACTGAGTGAATCGACTTTGAGTTAAATTAATTAAAACACTCTCGAGAGAATAATTTGTAAATTCCATCAGATTTTCACATGTGCCTAGCAAAGTAATCGAATTTTAATTATCGTTCGTGTGGTAACTAAGACACATATTTATATTTTAATAAATAACAGAATGAATGAATTTTCTTGTAAAATCGGACCTTGAAACCGTCATATGTCCAACTGCCGAGCTTCAGAACGCAAGTCTGGACGTCATATGGGAAAAACTCAACGTCAATGGAGCACGAGGACTTATAAACGGCCGGCGGCTGCCATATCACTAATCCAGTATAGAAAACGGTCGCCTTCGTCATTATCGTCACTTCGTAGTTACCATCGGCACTGAAAATAATCCATAACTAATGAATTTTTATATGAAATTTCACACAATTGTTTCCATTGTTCGCCCTCCGGAGGAAACGTCGATTCATAAACGGCTGCGACACTTGCTAAAGTCATATGAAATGTGATTAGTTGAAAATAATTATTACCTTCATTCAATCGGCCATGGATACTCATGAGATTTTTATTTATATATAGATATATAACGTATACTTACGTAAATTTTGATGTAATGGTATTGAACTTCCGAAAACAAACATGCACTTTAAAAACATAAATGAAAATAAGTAACACTAAAGCTTTAAGATGTATCGTTTTATTTTTTTATATAAGACCTTTACTAAACAAAATGTTCTAGGATATTTGTTTGTTTGAAAAACTAGCGGCTAATTAAATTCTGTAAACGTTGAGAAATTCGAGATAAACGATAGAAAATATCGTGTAGGTTTCTACAAATTTATTTTATTTAAAAAAAAAACGATGCTAGGTATTCTCCCATTGTTAGATAAAGAGATCAATAGTTGAAAGAGCCATTGATAATAAATGAAATAATTAATGAAATGTTATCAATGAAAAAGTCCATATTGGTATTGTTCGAGATTCGACTTTCGCCCAGTAAACACTGTGTAATTTGAGCGGCGGTAGCAATCTGAAATCCACATGAATGTCACAGCGCTGAAGGCACGTGTGTGGATTTCGGGTTGCTACCGCCGCTCAAATCACACAGTGTTTACTGGGCGAATATTAGATTACATTCGGCAAATACTTGTTAAAAATGCATTAAACAAATCAATTTAATCATAAGAAATTTTTATGAAATTTAACATGCTGTACAATCATGCATCGGGCAAAATCAAATCGCAGACGGGTATTGATGTAGAAGCCCGTTGTACGTCTTAGGGATTTTACGAATATATTTAGCGAAACTATACTTTGAATGAATATAATCAAATTTGTACTAAGCACATCTGTTTTTGGCAAAGTGAATCTTCATAAATACAACCATAAACTTAAAAAAGGCATTAATTTCCTAATTCACGTCGACGATGGATTCACGAATCAATGAATAATTATTAAAAATAGTCCCCAAAACGTTCATGGGTCTTTTCCCCGCACGGCAAACTGCGACTAACCTTAAAACCATCGTAAGTCCAGCTACCAAATTTGAGTACGCAAGTCTGCTCATCGAAGGGAAAATATTCGACGTCGATCTCGCACGACGATTTGTAGATCGCCGGAGGTTTCCATTCGACCAGACCCTGGTGGTAGATGGTCGCTTTGGTTGCCAATGTCACTTCGAAGTTACCATCGGCGCTAGGAAAATCAGTTAAAATCGACACGGAATATACATTCGAAGGGAAAAAGGATCGAGGATTATATGTATTGACTGATTGATTCAATTGTAATTGATTTAACTATTGAATTATGCGTGTACAACACTTCAGATATTTTTCTAGTGTATTTACAATTTGCAAGCTTATTTATAAAAACCTAGATGAGTGTGTGGTTCACGCTGGAAAGCAATGAATTCATATCAACTAGATATGTCTGCAATAACACAGGTTTTAGTAGTGTTTAGTATGTTTTGTGTCTTTTGAGACACAAAAACCATTTTATATTAGATTAGTAAGTTGCAGTATGTACAATGATACCCCCTTACTCATATGATGATATAAACACATGAAATAAAGTACGCAAATTTAACAAAACTAAATCTACTGAAAAGCTTTGTCGGTGGGAATGTTTATAGCACTTTGACCAGCCATTGTTCAATGAATATTTCATTGCAATTTATGTGCAAGTTATAATAATTTAATAATAATGAGCTATATAAAATCCAAAGTGAAAATAAATACATCATATAACAATTTTGAATAATGTTTATTAGTAATATGGTAACACTCGTGATGCACATATTTATTAGCGTCAACCATTATACACATTTATATCATGATACATTTTATAATAGCATTAAAAATATTTATAATAGCATTAAAAATATGTATAATATTTAAAAATAATAATGTAATTAAAGTCATACTTCAAATATGACATGATCGGTTTGTCATTGTAATTAGCATTTAGAAATGAACCTTCTTTAGAGAAACGAAGTAATTGCTGTTAAACAACGCTTAAACAAATATTGTTTTCGCAACTTTACCCATCACGTAATTGTGTTTGAAGAACTTCATGTAATTAAAATTAACATACATTCATTGACTGATGGTATTTGTTTTACTTTTTCACTGGCGATATAATCTCATTCTTTGAACGGCTGTAATATCTGTTTTGCTTAAAAAATATTTTCCATTTCAATAACTTCAAAGATTTATAGAAACTACGAATAATATAGAAATTATTTCAATAAATTTTCATTTTCATTATAATTATTTTCAAGGAACAGGGTAAAATATTCTTTTGATTCAGGCATTTTTCATTAAATCAAGATTTGTACTACGATGTAACTTCAAAACGTTTATTTATCTATGCCGATTTCCTTGTTGATATCGGTACGCATACGACAGATCTCTATTCACATACGCGACAACTAATCACAATCGACCCGTATAGAAATGATATTTAATGAAATGATATATCATCGAGAGCGAATGACGAATCATTGGCACTCGACTCTTGTCTTATCTGCCGTAACGCACTTCCGTCGCATTTGTACGGATTTACACCCTAGTCGCCCCCAAAGAAATTTTACTTCAAAAATTACATTTTTGATTAATATTTATTTCATAATTTATTCACCTAGTGCCTGTTTTATTAATGACACTCTCGTCATTCAAGTATAAGGCGTCTCTAATCTATTTGCCATTGATTAATAGACCATTATTTGCAAGACCTGAGTCTTTTCAATTTTCAATTCCCAATTTCCAATTTAATAACTAAAGCACCGTTAGGACAATGAAATATTCCCTGTGCCTGCTCACAAATTATTCGCATTTGTTCTAATTCAATAATTCATCTGTTTTACTTTGTTCTGAAAATAATGCAATTATATGAAACGGCAGCCACATCGGCGTTGGAGGTTGGAGGCGAAACGGAGGCGCGAACGGATTCGAAGCAGAATTCAGGTGGAGGCACAAGTTTACAAATTACATAATTAAGGGGATGGATGAGTTGATTAATTTTTTGCGAGACCCATATCGCGCCTCTCTGATTAATCGAAATGGATTATTGAGATTCTGAATAAATAATCTTAGACACCGTCCGAGATTCCAGGAATTTTAAAGGCGTTGTCGGAATTAATTAAAAACCGATATCAATCAGAATGAATTAACAAAAAAAAATTGGCAATTAGTAGAGTTTGTGATGAGACATTAGTTATATATATATATACAGTATTAGCTCTTAATATAAGCATTTAGATAGAGCGCACGCCAATTGAAAGTTTCTTATATTTGTTATTAACATACGTCATTAAGTAAATTCTTGTGCCGTCTGTATAGTATTCATGAACTCAAATATTATGACACATAACAATATTTATAAACCACTTAACCTCTAATTAAATCCTATTCATCATCGAATCAAGATTAATTTTGCAGCAAAATATTTATTTAATTGGTGATATTGAAACTCAAATTATTATCTTGATTCCATGATGAATAAATATTATAGAACAGAACACATGGATTTAATTAGAGGTTAAGTGGTTTATAAATATTTTTATGTGTCATAATATTTGAGTTCATGTACAGATGGCGCAAGAATTTACTTAATGACGTATGTTAATAACAAATATAAGAAACTTTTAATTGGCGTGCGCTCTATCTAAATGTTTATATTAAGAGCTAATACTATTAGAGATTCATTTTTTATTCATTTGGAAGCATTGGCGCCCTTGGGAGCAAAGAAATTCGAAAATGTCCTTGTTAAGGACCACCCTAATATATATATTTTAGACAAAAACCAGGTGTAAGTGACATTGGGTCTTATAGCAAAGAATTGTGTAAATAATTGACCTATTGACCCTAAACAACCTAAAATCAACATGTTAATTTATGGGTGATTTGTTAGTATTGAAGTTAATTTGGACAAATTTTGCAAGCATGCTGGTTGGTTTAAATTAGTTCTTTCTTCGTAGTACGTAGGCTTTTAATATTTTAGAATGTTCATTCAGAAGAGGATGTCCAGGTTTGGTTTATTCAAGGAGAGTTGTCTAGATTCATCGAATCGGTTTTAAATATTTTGACATCGGAACGATCGTTTTTGGGAAATTATTCGTGAAATTATTACATGAAAAAAAAAACGGCAAAATGGCTTTTCATTTTTTTTATAAATTTCATTGTTGTTTTATTTAACACCAGAAAATTCATTAAAATCTTTACAATGAAAGTTCCTACATCACCGACTGTCCATTACGATTTTCGGTTTGTTCTCACTTAACAAAACGGTCTTCTCAACCGTGTGGTTTCATACATAAATAAATATACAATGTAGATTCTGCAAATGTATGTTCACCACATTCTAGCGGAAACTTGTATTATTTACCTAAATCTGCTGCACACGAAGAACAAAAGTCCTACAACAGATGAAATGTTCATCGAAAATTGTTTATTTAAGAATTTAACATTATACTGTATTATATAATATTAGAACATGGCAAGGGAATTAAAAGCATACGTACAAGCGTTTTTAATAAAGATCATACTAGAGTTTATGTCGGTTTTTAAGTAAAAAAAATCTGCTAAATTGTAAAAATTTACTATCAATAAAATTGAACATTATATAATTTCAGTCGATAATTGCTCTTATTATTATATTTAATATGTTTGAGAAATGTTTGTAATAGAATCAACTACTTTTGTGTAACATATGCACATCTATACACTGTTTTTAATAACAAATTCTTTTGAAACAGTTTATTTTTCAATAAAGTAATAAGTTAGGAAATTTTTTAAGCCGAAAAACTTTTCTAATATGGTTCATAGTTTGATAAAACTCAAAGAAGTTTGGAAGCATATTTATTTTTTGTACTGCAAATAAATATAGAATGTAATAACCGGTATAAGGTAAATACGTTAGTTATATATTAGCTTTAATGGCATAACTTGTGCGACTATTCCGTTGAAAGGAAATCGATTTCTCTTTGGGTGCTAATAAATCTCCTGAATTTATTTCAGGATGTCAACAGAAAATAGAGAAAATATATTGAAGAAGTTGTAGATAAACATATTTATATAAATAATATCTAAATAATTAAAGGCTTTCAATATGCTTTATGAATGTTTTTTATACTTTTAATAAATATTGCATGTTACTTGAAAGTATTATTTGCCTTTTCGGTTTTATGAAAAGTGCACTCTTGAGCTGAGAGCTTAGAGCAAGCCATTACAAATTCATGAATACATTTCGAAAATTTACATAGATCGGACTATAAGTGTAATATTCGAGAAAACAATGAATGAATAAATGAATAATAATCAAAAAAATAATAATAAGTAACTGCTGCAATCAACGAAATATCTATTTTCAATAAAAAATGGCACGACTTTTCACTTTTAATCCATTTGTCGCTAAGTTATAACTAAAATTTCTTTTTTTAATTTTCAAAATTTTTTCCATGCTATTTCGATACGAAGTATGAATTGTTTTTTATCAATATATATATATATATATATATATAAATTAATATATATATATATATATATAAATTAATAATTTATCAATTTTTTATAAACATATATATGTAGGTGACAAAAATTCCTCATTATTCCTGTTAGTATCATATATGATTTATGTTTTCAAAGTAAACTCCGGCAGTTTATTTTTTTTAATTATATGGGGTGATATGAAAGCAATTTCGAAACAAAACGAAAGCAATTCTTTGTAAATGGCCCATAAAAATACTAACTGCCCATTATTTTCACAACATTACAGAAATTCATGATGTCTTGTTATAAGCAAAAAATATTTCAGAAGCAACGAATTGAAGAGCAAATTTTGTAAATTAGAATAAACTATCATGTTAATATTTTTAGATTTATCATGATTTGTACCATATTAGCAAATGAACCATTAGTTAATAAGCTCTCTCCTTTAATGTATGGCCATTTGATTCTACATCATTGTTTCGCTTGTCAAAATATTATCGATATACATATATATTAACCCAATTATAATTCGAGTCTGGTATCTGCTGACGTTTTCGAAAAATACAGTAAATCCAATTTATTTAAAATGGATTATTTCAATCATTCATGTCATATCGCACAAACGACATGCATATGCCACATGTGTATCTACATGTTTTGTGTTTATTTTGTAAAACTGAAATTTTGCCCGAGGACGAGGATGAGGGC